TTTGCATAATAAAGAACATTACATTAACTTTAATTTAAGATATATATAAAAGTGTCAGACCTTCCGGAACATTTTCAAAAGGTAAGTTGAAAAAGTTAATTTTTTGTGAAAAAGTTATCATTTTAAAACCCCTCCTTGTGGGCAGGTTAAGGCTTAAATTTATGAAAAAAATATACTTAACACCTGTGTGGGGAACGTCAAAAATATTTGAACGGCGTAACCCTAATATGTCCATCAACGTGTACGGCATGGAACGGGACGACGTTAAAATAAAATGTACGGTGTATCGACTACGAGTCGCCGACCAAGAACTACTATATTATTTTGAACTGTTGTACATCGGTGACTCTGACAAGTATCATTACGCGTACATTTCAGATATTTCGCGGCTCCAAAAACCAAACACAATAGCCACATTTACACTTGCAGACGTTGCTTCACCAGCTTCAATGATATGCCTAAAAAGCATATTCTTCGCGGTCAACAAGAATTGAAGCAACACAAGTTTATATGCGGTAAAAATAAACAATTTAACCCGTTATGCCGTTAGAGAGCAGAAAGGTTGAATTTGACGCGTATGTAAAGACGCAACGGTAACCGTTTGTCATCTACTCCGATTTTGAAGCCTTACTAAAGTAAACAGACGATCGTATGGGTGCATACACCAGGACTGTGCACACCCACCATCCCATGAGCTACGGGTTCATGGTAAAAACATCGGACAATGTGCCTTCCAAGCTCCTCGAACGTTACGGTATACCGCAATCACCTGTTATACCGTAGGTCGGAGGATCGCGAATAGGTCGCCAAGACATTTGTGATGACTTTAACTGAAGTGACGCGCAACATATATAAATTGTTGCACAAAACCATAAAGTATATATACAGCTAATAAAATAAAATATGATTTTAACTTAGTTTAAGAGTGCATAAAATTGAAAATATCATGTAATGTTATTTACCTTTCAATGCATACATTATTATACCGCAATAATTATATTGTATTGCATTGTTTGTTTTTAAAGAGCAGTTTGTAGAAAAACTGCAATAATTTTTAAGGATAAATAGGAATTGATCTTAAGATCGTCGGGAAACAATTGCGAAATGTTAGTTGAATTTGAATTTATAAAAGTTCTCTAGTAGATCTGTTACACTATGTATAAATAATAATAGACAATAATAATTAAATCTCAATTACCTTCTAAATTGTAATTCGCAGTTCTTCTTTCAAAATTAATAGGACTTGATTCGTTTAACACTTCAAACATTTTTGATTCACTAATTTGACCCTTATTATTAGCATTTTCCTCAAGTTTAAAAATAGCTAGTTGCATGCAATAAAATGCTAAGGGATAAAATTCCTAAAAAATTCAATGTTAAGTTATTTATTAGTTTAAAAAAATTATTAAAATTAATCACATTAATAAAATAAAAAAATCAGTTTAAGATATGTATGTAATTTTATAGCTAAAAATTTTTTTTATAAATGTAATTTTGTTCAATAATAAGTTGATCGATTCTAAAATAAAGTTTTTTATTAATACTAAACTGTATAACAAATACACGCATAAACAATAAACAATAAAGAATCGATAATTTAAAACTTATTACTGTATACTCTTTAAATTATATAAAATAAATATAATTATTAATTATTAAAAATGTTACCATAGATTTTACACATTAAATCTATATGATTATATAAATTACAACAGTGATAACAGTGTCCCTATAAACAGTGCCGCCACTGTTATACCTCCCCTCCTCCAGACATAAACTCCAGTTTATGTAATCAAATTTTGTGCTGGAATTAATTTATTACTATGGAAACAATTTTTTTTTCTTTTTTCTTCTATCTCATATATTGAATTTGATATTTGTTTTATTATTCGGAAAGGACCTCTTCTAACTTCATCCAACTTGTTCCTATTCATTTTGTTGCCATTTTATACGTCTACTAACTCATTTTCTTTAAATGTATATTCTTTTCTTGTTTTGTCTACTCTTTTTTTATTTTTTTCATAATTTTTATTAGAATTTATTTTAGCTTGTTCTATATCTTTTTCTAAATTAAAAGTTTTTTCTTGAAGTTCATTTGGTACTATATAAGACTTTACACCAAATAATAGATAAGACGTTGAAAATTTTGTTACACTATGTGTTGTATTGTTGTATTCCTCTACACATTCCTCCGCTATCTTAGACCATGCTTTTTTTCTCCACTATTAATTTTACATCTTATTCTGTTTACCAATGTTTGGTTTAGTCTTTCATTTAATCCATTTGATTCTGGGCAATCAACTGATGTAAATATTAATATTATATTCTTTGATTTCATATAATCTTTGACTTCTTTGGATTTAATCCCTGTATATTGATCCGCCAAAACCATTTTTATTTGGTGCTGTCTTGCCACCAAATCGACTAATTTGATAAAATCTTTAGCACTTTGCCCTTTTGAAGTTAAAATAAATGCATATCTCGAGAAATGATCTACTAAAATATATAAATACTTTTTTGATGACCTATTACCTCCAAAACCTCCCACTGTGTCAATGGACATAATTTCATAAGGTTTTGTCGCTGGTCCTAATTTTGAAAGCAACCCAATTTTTTTGCTACTTCTTGATTTATTTTTTTTTACATATTTCACATGCACTACAAATTGGTGAATAATTTTATCCATATTTTTGAAATAATAATAAGGTCTTAATTTTTCACTTAAATGATAAATACCAATGTGACCATAATATTCATGTATTTTCTTAATTAATAATAAACCAAATTCCTGAGAAATGTAAATTCTTTGTCTATTTTTAAGGTATTGAAATTTGATATTTCCTTTTTCAAATATTCTTTTGGAATCCTTAATCTCAATTGCATTTTTTTGTTGGTCACTAATTATTTCTTCTAATGTAACCATATTTACAACTTTTAATATATATTCTTCATTTTCAAAGTTTTCTAAAACTGGATTTCTTGATAAGGAATCAGCTTCAATATTCTCCTTACCAGGTGCATATATAATCCTAAAACTATATTGTGAAAGGTAATATATAAAATCTCCAAGTGGTTCATCTGTCCTTGCTTTTACCTTTAATGTTTCTAATGGTTTATGGTCTGTAATTACAGTAAAAACTCTTTCAATTAACCAATGTTAGCAGTATACAATCGCTAGACATTCTAAATAAATAATTTTTTTTTTTTTTGACTGGGGTTTAATTTTTTTGAGAAATAGGCAACCGGATGGAGAATACCATTTTCCTGAGATTGTTTTAATACTGCTCCTATACCTTCTCCACTTGCATCAGTATAAATAAAAACCTCTTTATTTTGGCTATATATAGATAGAATTGGGCTTGAACATAGGTATTTATTCATATTATTAAATGCTTGCTGACACTCTATTGTCCAACTAAATTTTACATCTTTTCTTAGTAAATTATGTAACGGTTCCAGTTGTATTGCTGCATTTTGAATATATTTATAGTAAAAATTGATTTTCCCTATGAATTGTCTAATATTCTTTTTATTTGTTATATATATATATAATTTATACAAAAATCATTTAAATTATATCTCCTTATTATATTTGCTAAGGTTCTTTGAAATATTGCAGGGGATATTTTTAAACCAAAAGGTAAGCATGACCATTGCCAGTGTCCGTCTTGAGTCACAAACGCTGTTTTCTTTCTATCTTTATGCCTAATTGGAATAAACCAAAATGCTGAATTTATATCAAAAGCTGAAAATTAGGTACATTCTCCTGCCTTCACTATTATGTCAAGGAAATGGATGTGGCTCAGGAACAACTAATTTATTTAATTCTCTAAAATCAATACATAAACGAGATCTACAACCATCTTCTTTTTAACACGCTTATATTAGTTTCACCTGTATGTATGTATGTATGTAAGTTTGTAACTCTCCAAACGCCACGCGTTATCGCATATTCCGTCGTCTATACTAGACTGTCATAACGCAATCATCCCCTCCCCACGCCTCACGCACCACACAACGGCACACTATTCCTATAAAAATTTATTTTTAGATATCGTACCCGTACACGCGTGCTTGTCATCAATATTATATATATATAAACAAATTTTTATTTTGACTGACCAATACCGCCCGCGTCTAATGCGCCTTACGTATATATATTTATATATTCCTACCACCGTTTATACCTCAGGTATAACATTAGTCCGACCCGCCCGCCCAGAAAATACGGTTATACCTAGTGCATGATACGTTTACGTACTTTACTTATATATATATATATATTCTAATTACTATTAAAATTTATTTATTAACATGCTTTATTTTAATTAAGAGATATAAAGTATTCATTCCAATTACGAGGGATGATTTCCGTATCGTCATTTTTCGTCACTAC